GTCCTTTTACCCCGCATCCGCTGCCCATCAGGCACTGAGGAGCAAGAGCTGTTTCTGTCCAATGTTCCTTATTTGACCGCAGGGTCTGAAGGCCAAGATGAAATACTTTGCTATTGAGTTCCCCAGCACTTCCCGTGATGGACCCATTGTCTGAGTCTCCCAGGATCACAGGCACCAGTGTAACCAGCTCCTTCCCCCAGGGTGATCTGTGCTGTCCGCACCTAGCTGGGGGAGCCCAGGACCGCCCTCCCGCAGGACCCCACAGCCTGCTCCAAGGATTCTCACACGCTCGGCTGCCGCCTGCCCCAATCCTGACTTCAGGTTCCGCTTTTTGAGGCAACAGAGCAAATACTAGGTTTCAGGTGTACTAATTAGCTGTGCTAACCCTGCTCAAAAAGGACGCTGGTTATGGTGATTTTCTTGTTGGATTTTTCTATCGCAACTGTCTATCTCAACCTGTCCAATGGCACTGAGAACATTTTTTGCAGTTTGAATGAGAACTGTGACAGTTCTGACTTCCCTGTGGAGGCCTGTGGTTGAAACGTGCTTTTATTCATGATAAAACCCCCAAAGCCACGCGCCAGACTGGACTGGGGACCTCCTGTTCAGTACATCCCAAGATTTTAAATGCAGAAGTTCCCAAAGCAAAATATTTGCATTACCCACCATGGAACTTGCCTTAACAACGTTTCTGAATCAGCTGACACCTGTTCTGTGTCAGACGCAACAGTAGTGACACAGTGTTTGATACAGGAGGCAATATCCAAAACGAGGCTGAAGATAAATCACACGTGGATTGCATTTTATCACAAGTCATGTAGAAACAGCACAGAAAAGAGAACGAGGCAGTAAACGTTAAATATAAAGTATGTGTTTAATCCTACAATAAATAAATGCAAAAGTATTTATTCCCAGGATTGCTTAACATGGTCACATGGCAGAAACCAATGTCTCTAATCTGTTTTTATTTCTACCTCATTTGTCCATTGAACTGATTCCCTATGAAATGCAAATAAAACAATTAAAACAAAACCTATTATTGTATACAACTGAAGGGAAATAAAAGTCCCAAAAGTATTTTAATTAGAACCAACCCAACCCATTTCAGATAGGAATTCAGGAAAAAATCTACACTAGGACTGTGATGCTATTTGTCGGTATCGCAATCCAATGTACACATCAGGATAGATGCGGAGAGGGCTGATGGCCACTCTGAGTTTATTATAACCAGCGTTTCAATATATACATAGCTTACATCTGTTAAACATACACAGGTGTTCTGGATGAAGTAATTAGCGAATGCCAAGAATTCTTAGTGATTTCTCAAGGAGCCCTCCCTTGGCCTCTGTTTTGATATTATCATGTTGTTGCTGTGCTCCTATATTTTTATCTCAGAGCAGGCAAGGTCTCTTAGGCAACGGTCCCTCTTGCTCCCGATATCGATATCGTTTCTCCATCTGTGCCCCCGGGCGGCCGCCGCCTGGCTTAGGTTGCCCCCCCAGGGGGTCTTACCCATCATTGGCTAACCGGCCTTCTCACCTCCGGGTCACAGTTTGTTGGCAAGCTTTTTCCAGTGATTATTAACCCTTCCTATGTCAGGGGCGGCTACACTATTAATTGAGAACCTTCAAATTTTTATTTATCTAATTTAATGATCTTTGCTCAACATATTTAATAGTTAGATTCTTTCTCCCTCTACAGTTTCCACCCACTGAATTTTATGATAAAACAAAAATGTCAGGCCATCTGGGCATATGAAAAGGCCACAACAAATTATCCCATAGAGACTTGTGCAAAGTGAAAAAACCAACAAAACAAGCTACTGATGTTGGGGGAAATCATAAAGAACTGGTAGTCCAGGGCAGCACGAATGACAACCAGCCTCTCTCCCCTCAAAAAGACAAAACACAGTGCGTGACAGCTGGGAAGTTCATGACACCTTCACATGGTGTCTGCTGCAGACTGCCCTATGTGACAGTGATTCGTCATTTACGACTGGAATCTGTAGCCTACACACCTAAAGGAGAGGAGCCAACTTGGAGAAGCATGCGGATGAGGCAGGAGAAGATGCTTCTACAAGTGGCTGGAGACCCTCGAAGACCATCTCCAGTCCCGTGTGATCAGTGGATGTCAGCATTCGACCAGCCGTGTGTGCAAAGATCCGATGGTTCCTGTACGGGGCGTACACTGAAAACTATGACGGAACACCACAAGCTATGTTAAAGGCACGATGAGGGCTGAATTGCTAATCTCCTGCATTCGTTTGTGCTTTTATAGTTCACAAGCACCTCCCCACCCATCATGGTTGTCCACAAGGCTGTTTAATATCAAACATTATGACAGATTCTTAAAATTGGAAGAAATCTCAGGGCACAGCTAATTTTACTTCAGCTGACTCACTGACGTGTCTGAAAATGAAAGAAGAACTAGAAGTTCAAAACAGTAAAGACACAGGACGGTGCATGAACCTCTGACAGTGGACTGTGCAAATAAGCACTCCTCTTCCTCGTCCCTCCCACAGAGCACCCACGCTCAGGTAGCGTCCAATCCAGAAAGTGTCCTCATGAGTCCACTGAGATTGCGAGCCCACGAATGGTACCCAGAGTGAAACCGGGATAGAATACTACGTTCGCCCGTGAGATGATGACTGGGAATGATTTGCTGAGGGGGGAAGTAGTTTTAAAAAGTTGGTGAATTTATGCAATTAGTGAATGAGGGCACAAGGACCCAGCTCCACTGCAGTGTTCTGTGGTCACAGAAAGTGCCAAGTGTCCCTCCACCAGGCGCTGTGATGCTGTGATCCAGCACAGAGCCATCCGTCTGTGCCTGATCCGAATCAGACCTCATGTGAGGAGGGCTCTGAAAGTGCTTCTCCAGCAGGAAAGACCCATCACAGCTGTTTATACACTTCTGCCCTGAAACCCTGGGGGAAATCCTTAGGGAAAAAGGTGGAAAACATTAGATATTCAAAGCTCCAAGAAAATAATGGAAAAAAATTTAAAACAACCCTGGAGATTATGGTGATTTATTTGTTTTTGTTTTATACTTTTGAGACTTAAAAAAATCTCGTGGGGGCTGCGGGGTCAGGGATGGGCAAAGAGAAGTAAGAATGTTTGTTTGGAGTCAAGGGTTTTTATATTGTTAGCGGTGCTGCAAATCTGCTTTCTTGTTTCTGAGGATTCACTTCTCTAGAAATCATAAGATGGAGACGGGGAGGAAGCCAAGATACAGCTGGTCTGCTTGGATAGGGAGCACAGCGTGCGCGTGCACTGTGGGCTGGCTGGATGAGGGAGTGCAGCCTGCAGAGTGGGCTGGCTGGGTTAGGGAGCGCAGCAGAGTGCAGTGTGGGCCGGCTACCTTAGGGAGCGCTGCGTTTAGCATGGGCTGATTGGAGCCAGGAGTGCAGCGTGCAGTGCGCAGTGCAGGTTGGCTGGAGTGGGGAGAAGGACTCATCTCCTCCAGAGAGTTAAAGGCAACTGGAAGAGCTGCCATGACAAAACCCCCAACTCAAATAGGCTTCAGCATAAAGGTTCTTGGTCCTCAACCATAAGAATATTTTCTTTTGTGGCTTCTGGATTTTTTGAGACGCAGGGAACACCACTCTCTCTTACTTTCATTTTGGATGGATTACCATTAGACACCTAACCCAAGTTAAAAATTAAAGTGGGTTCTGAAGACGGTGCTCATTTCTCCTTCCATCAGATTAGTTTTCTTCTTTGTACTGAAGATGCCCAAAGCAAAGGGAGCAAAGTTCCTTAAAATTCTAATCACAGAGCTGCTTCTGAGTTCCTCCCAGGGCCCCGGGGAGAGCTGAGTTGACGGTTAAATCTAAGCTGCTTCTCCAACAGAAGCAATTATTCTGCGGTGGATTGACGAGAACGTGAAGCTCTGCGTGTGGATTCCATGACTCACCTGCCATCATTACCTAACTCTAAAGTTCATGTTTAAAATTTAATTTTTCTTCATGGGCAGCAGGCTATTTGGCCCAGACAGAATGTCATTTTGAATGGCATGAAAGGAATTCTTAAATGCATCTGAGACATTTGGAAAAATTTTCTTCTCTGAATCTCAGTGGGAATTCTTTTCTCAAAAACTTGCACAATGAGCTATGTTGGATCCCCATGGAGCTGGCTATTTCTGAGTGCAGAGGCACAGCGGGAAGGCACAGGACTGTTATGGACACAGCACTGCAAGAGCTTCAGGCACAGAGAAGGGGTGGGTGAAGGATCCTGGACTCTAGTCCTCCCCACCAGCTCCCATCGCAGGAAGGCAGGTTCAGAGAAAGCAGAGAATGGGAGAGGCAGGATCTTTCCTGTCACAGGAAGTGGCTCTAGCCCTTTTCTTGATTGGTTGACTGAAATCTGGACTCAATGGTGTCTGATTAATGAGGTTGAGACGTCTAAACTTCCCTGGAATGCTGTGAAGGACCCAATCTGTGCTAGGCAGAATTCGAAGACGGTCCCAAGATTCCCACCCCCTAGTGTACACACTCTGTTTGGTACCCTTATCCTTGAGTGGGAGAAAGACCTGTGAATATGACAGAATTTCACTCCTGGGATTAGGTTAGGGTTTCTGGCGAAGAGGGGATTTTTCAGATACGATTAAGGTTGCTAATCAGTTGACTGCGAATTCATCAAAATGGAGGTTACCCTGGGTAGGCTTGGTCTAATCAGGTGAGCTCTTTAAAAAAAAGAGTCCAACTCGCTCCCGGAACTGAGCCTCCGTGCCATGCAGAAATCAGGGCACAGGACAGCTCGCATGCAGGTGTCCCAGCCAACACTCCAACACTCCTGTCCTTCAGACAGGATCCTGAGGAAGCCTGCAGGATGGCTCTCACTCCAGCTGCTGTCTGACTACAACTGCCTGAGAGATCTCGAGTGAGGATCACCTAGCTGAGCCCAGGCAAGCCACAAAACCTGGAGAGATAAAAACATGATAGTTGTTAAAAAAAAAAAAAAAAAAAAAGGAAGGTCCAGGCCTTCCCTAAGTCAGAGTCTCAAAGCAACAGTCTCTCTCTCCATTGCTGGTTACGAAGAAGCGAGAGGCCGTGAATTCTACAGCTACAAGGAGATGAATTCTGCCAGCCAGAGGGGGCTTGTAAGAGGCTCCTTCCCTGGTCCAGTCTCCAGATGAGAACAAGGGCCGAAAGCACCTTCATTTCAGCCTGTGAGACTTGGAGCAGAGGGCAGTGACACTGTGCCAGGACCAGAGCTGTGGAAACCGTGAGATTATAGATGTGTGTTGTTTATGCTGCTAAATCTGTGGTAATCTGCACAGTATAACCCTAACAGAGAGTCCAAGGTTTAGGCAGATAGAAATTTTGGAGTACTTCTGTCACATGTGAACTACAGGCCCCTCCCACTACTGCCACCACCACAAGCCCTGAAGGGCCCGCCGCGTACTCCCTTCACTGGGGCCCTGAGACAAACTTGATCTCTGTGGTGCACGTTTTCTGCAGGGCAGGAGATGAGGCAATTGATGGAGGATTCCAGACTTAGGTGGGTGACGGGGTCTTGGAGCAGCAGCTTTCCTGTGGCAGCACCAACCCCAGCGGGGTGGATGATGGGGTGTAGGGGGCATCAGGGACTCTGATGGCTTTCTCTCCCACCCGCCTAGTCCGTGGACACCACAAAATCAAACCACATCATCTGTTTTGCTTACTGCTATCCCCCCAGCACATAGTAGGAGCTCAGAAAACACTTGACGGACTGCGACACAAACATGACTGAGAACACAGAGGCTTTATGTGTGTCAAATATCCTTTCATCTGAAAGACTTCATAATGACCCACTCTCTTATTATAAGCTTAGTGGGATTAAGTGTGACCAGTCTGAAATGAGGTGATTTATTACACTCAGCTCAATTGCAATCACGGATATTGCTCTGAGCTGTCGAGCTGAAACCTGCAGGCACAGTTGTAGGAGAAACTCCTGCCTCTGTGAACTAATTAGAGGAAAGAGGCCCTTTTCTTTTCTGCCATGTGCATGTCTCTCAGGGAAAGACTGAATCTGGCCCCAGAGCTACACATTGGCTGTTTGGCCAAAAGGAAGAATGAAGGCCAGGATGGGCAACGCCCCGCCAGGGTGTCAACTCTCTTCTCATTCCCCATTTAACAAAACCACTGCAGGACCCCCTGCTCCTGGCAGTGTTCTGGGTCGGCACTGGCACTTAAGGGGCTCACAGTCTATTCAGAGGGAAAGACAAGACATAAAACCCCTGCAATGCTATGTGATGAGTGCCATGATGGACAGAAATGGGGGGGTCCTAACCTTCCAAATGTTCAGTAGAGGTTTCCCACAGGAGGTGAGATCAGCTGATGCCTAAAAGGGTACAGAGGGATTGCCAGAGGGAGGGAAGGAGAGAAGTTCTAAGCCAAGGAAACAGCATGGAGGAGTTCCGGGACAGAGCAGGGCACATTTGCAGAATGGCACGACTAATTATAAACCAGCATTTTTGAGGTGGGGAGGGCCATGAGATACACCAGTGAAGATGCCCCTGTGGGCTGTGGGAAGCATGGCGGGTTCTACGTGGCGGTAGACTATGACCCAGTTTGAGTGTGAGAAGACCTTTCCGACTGCCATGGCAGATGGCTGACGCTGTGGGCAAGGAGACAGGTCAGGATCTGGCTACCCAACACGCAGCCCCTGGACCAGCAGCATTGGTCTCATCGGGAAGTGATTAGAAATATAGCCCCTGGACAGCCCCCAGAAGTACTGAATCAGAACCTGCACGGCACAAGCTCCCTGTGATTCATGAGCATGTGGATGTTGGAAAAGCACCAAACTGAGGCTGTTGCAATGACCCAGGTCAGACCGGGTGGTGCTGGCTCCCACCAAGCTGGTGGCAGAAGGGATGGAGAGAAGAGGGCAGAGTGAGGAACACGAGCCGGTGGGCCCACAGGACTTGGTGTTAGATGGGATGACAGGCGGGTTCCTGGCCGGGGAACCACGTGGTCCAGACTGAAAATTCCTGTGGGATTTAGGACCAGCAGTCCCCGGTGATTGTGCTCAGAGCAGTCCTGGAGGCATAGTGAGGCAAAGACTGGACTTCAATGGGAAAAGAAAGGAAGAGGAGGCGACAAAGTGGGAACAGCATGGGGACACACTCCTTGGAAGAACTGGACAGCGAAGAAGTGAAGAGGTGAGGCAAACATGGGGCCTGCCAGGGAGCTTTCGTCCTCATTATGGCTGCTATTAGTATGAGTACTAATGCGAGAGCCTCGAGAGTGTTGACACCTGAAAGGAAAAGCTGGCGGAGAGGAGAGTTGCTCATTGGAAGGGCAGGCCACCCCAGCGGACTGAGAAGCCTTAGCGAGCAGGACTGGACAGGCCCCGACGCAGTGACTAGGGGAGGGGAGGAGCTGTTGGAGATCTGTCTGCTGGACTCTGTTCTCTCAGTGAAGGAGGGGCCAGGTCCGCTGCCGGGCCTGAGGTCAGAGATGAGGGCAGGAGGCCGGCCGGGAGGCTGGTGAAGGAGTGGAAGCTGTGGAGCAGGGGGAGGAGACTGGGGACTGAGGGGTGTTTCAGGGGGCTTTGAGGGAGGGACCATCATGCTTGAAAGCAAGGCTGAGGGGTGCAGGTGAAATGCTGCAATGTTTCCTCCAGCAGGAGATGCCATCTTTGGATGTGTAAGGGGTGTAATTGTAACCCAGCACACGTTACAGAGGCAGCACTGCTTAGCAGTTAAAAAGCACACTCTGGAGCCGGATCGCCGGGTTTGAATCTCCCCTCTGGAGCGTGTCTGCTCGACCTTCAGTCTTGCCTTACCTGGCACCACCACGCTGGTGAACAGCACATACAACACATAGAGCAGAAGTCAGTATCACTGGTCTGGGGCTAAAACCATTTGGAGATGCGTTCCAGTGTCCTGCACTGTGTCAGCCTGTGCAGTGCTATTTTTTAAAATAGTGTTGAACACAACAAATTAGGAAATTTCACCTAAGAATCATGAATTTTTAGCTTCTTTTGCGAATTAGCCTGGTCTGCAGAGTTAATTCTTCCCTCATGTTGGGCTGAGTCCTGGCTGCCCCTCCTGTCAGTCAAGGCTCTTCAGCATCACCATCACCATGGAAACCACATCCTGGTATCTACCTTCCTCAGGTCCCTGTGGCCCCAGCTCCCAGCACTGCAATATGCGCATGTTGAACGCAGTCTGAGTTGTCCGTGTGTGTGCTGTGCCAGCTGTCAAAGATTTTGAGCATCACCTTTGCTTGCAGGCATTTGAATTTGTGCCTCTGTGTTAAAATCGCCAGAATTCTCTTTGAACTGCTCTTACAGACCGTGGGATGTCAGTAAAGTGCAATTTCTTTCCTGTGCCCAAAGGATGGAGGAAAGTCAGAACTATATGATGACCTATATTAGGACCCACCAAGGTTAGCAGTGACCAGTCATCTTAAGAAAGAGGGACATGCTTAATAAGCAGAAACAAAAGTGCATGCAGAGCTCATTCGCATCATCAGAGTGGAGACCTCTGCTCTTTCCCAGGCGCCTAATGGACTCACGTCCTGTTTACACAGAAGTCCAAGGAGTGTTTGAGAGTCTATGTCAATGGAACCCTGAGCACCTTCAACCCAAGGGGCAAAGTGTCTCATGCCTACGGGGACACAGATGTCAACCTCGTGATAGGGTCTGAGCAGGACCCAACCAAGTGCTATGAGAACAGAGATTTCGATGAGTTCATCATCTGGGAATGGGCTCCGACTCCAGAGGAGACAGCAATGTACCTCACAGTGGCCATCGGTCAGTGAGAGGGTGAGGGCTGTGGGCCGGGTGTGACATCTGCTTCTAGGTGGCACTTTCATATCCACCTCCCCTTCCCAGCTCTCCTCTTCTCCCCACTCCCCTGAGACAGCAGTCAGTGTTGCAGCCTGAGATGTGATCTCATGAACCTTAGAGGTACATTTCCCAGAATGCCTGTTCCCTAAGATGGAGGGATCACCAGCTCAGCAGAGACAGTGAGATTGATATTCTCCCGCTGACCATTATGGGGTTTCGAGGTGTACATGGCAGATGATTACAGAAAGTTTGGGGTAGCAAATATTCTGGGTTCAGTGCATTTGACCAACAAATTTGACCAAGAATTTTACCACACACCTCCTGCATGCCTGACTCTCTGAAGGGCCTTTGGAGAGCCCTGAGGATGCCCACTTCCTGCTCAGCACAGAGCAGTTGTTCAGAGCTGGGGCCTGCGACGAGGTGAACCTAGTCTCAAATCCTCCTCTTGCCAGGACAAGCCTTGGGACTTGCGAAGACACTTTTCACTTCTCCAGGTGTAAGTTCCCCCATCAATAAGGGAGTCCAGTCCATAGGGCCTATGAAAATAAAACGGGACAATGTGAATCAGGCAGAGGCCCCATACAGCTCAAGGAGTGTTTGTTGGTCTGTTAACGCATGCCCTTTGCTCCTACAGTTCCATTTTACTTTTGTCAGCAAATGCATGTTCTTTTTTTACAAAGCTGATATTGTTTCTTAATTTCCACAAGCAATAATCTGCCTAAAGGTCTACCGTAGTGCCTCCAGAACAACAGGGGAAGTTCCGGGTGAGGAGGTGAAGGGTCTGGGCTCCAGACCTCAGCCTGCCCTTATTCAGGTTCTGCCCTTGGATCCTTCACTTGACATGGAGTCACAACTCGTGATTTCAAGTGATGGAAAATCCATCTCAAAAAGGACTTAGGTAAGAGAGGAGTAGAGGAGCAGTTGCTTTAGAGATGACTCGATCCAGGGGCTCCACGGACATTACCAAGGAATTCTTGCTTTCTTTACCCCTCCTTCCTTCCTGTCTGCTGCCTTGTCAGGTGAGTACTCCCCCTTGTGGAGGTGAGATGCCTGCGAGGTGCTCCAGGGTTACACCTTCCCCTCTCAGCAACTCCAACAGAAAGAGAGTTTCTCTTTTCTAACAGCTGCTAAAAAGGGCTGAGGCCTGACTTTTATTGGCCAAGGTGGTCCCTATGTCTACCACGAGCCAATCACTATGACTGGAAAGATAGGGGTAGGGAGAAGTGTAGAATATGCTGATGGGCTTAAGCTCGGCTCACAAGCCACTTCCCTGAAATGGCAGTGGGGTCAGGCTCAGCCAAAGCACACAGAGTGGAGCGGACTCCCCAAAGGATGATCAGACATGCTGGCCTCAAAGAGGGAATAGATCCTGTGCAGGCAAAAAACACGTGTTCACCACAGTCTTTGATACGTCCATCTTCTAGCTTCCACTGAGAAAAATGGAATTCATTCCTTTCACTGAAGTGACAGAAGAACTAAAGAGAGTGTCCTGTAGAAGAAGAAAATATCAATCTACTGCATTTTATCGCCTGGGATTCAGAGAGCTGTCACTTTGAGACCAAGATGTCATTAGTATTTGTGTGACTGAAAGCCTCAAATAAATCCACCTTTCTGATAGTTTACAGTTTCAGTAACCTTGGAAAGATGTGCCGTTGTTTCCGGTTCTAGTAGCTGTCACAGCAAACCTCTGTCTGAGGACATCTCTGGGCTCAGCAACGTGGACCATCCATCGCATGGTGCGGTGTTTCAGGAAGGCGCCATTACTGAACCCCGTGGGCCCTCTGCACTTGGTAAAGGTGACACTGACTCTTTGGTAGAGTCAGGAGAACTCTATTAACATTTATGTGTCCTGAAGAGCACACACACTGTACCTTTTCTGAACCGGTCTAGATGTATTTGAACCCCAAACTTCATGTGGTTGTTGATAATTAAATGGGTCCCTGTGAGTAAAGATCACAGAAGCGTCTGCTTACATAAGTAAGCACTTCCCAAGGATTTCCTCTTCCTTATTTTCCTTGCTGAAGAAGATCCAAAGAAACACAACACAAACCACGTGTTCAATAGGTCCTGAAGCGGTGGGAGGTTCCCCTTAGCTTTCCCGCATAACGGAAAAGAAGAGTTAGACTCCTCAGATGTCATTCATTCACTCACAGAACATCTAGGTGCCGGGGATCCAGGGTGACCAAGAAGCACTTACAGATTTCAAGAGGGTCGCTTCAGAGGGTAAACACAGCCCACAGTCTGAAAAGCGCCATAGGGGATGTACGAGGGAGCGCAGGGATTCCGGAGTCAGACAAACCCGGGTTTGGCCCCAGCTCTGCGGCCTTGGGCAGGTTATCCACCTCTGGAAGCCTCAGTTTCCCCATCTGCGGCATGCGGACAACTACAAGAGCCAAGTCTCTCTCAGCTGCCCTTGACTGCAAGTTAACAGGACACACGGCGCCGCCAGCCCAGGCTCACACGGGACATCTGCTTCCTTCTCATCACAAGGACCCCAGAGCAGGCGACCCCCGCGGACGGGCGGCCGGGCCTCGGTGGGGCAGGGTCCGGCCGGGACCAGCTCCTCCGCTTTGTCAGGGACATTCCGCTTCAGCACGGACAGTCCCCGTCCCGGGAGACGCCTCAGCGCCCGGCAAACCCCGGACGTTGGGATTCCTCCCTCCCACTCTGATTCCAAAGGGCCGCAGCCGGAAGCGGGCGCAGCGCCTGTGGGACCACTTCCGGGAAAGACAAGACGGGCACGCCGCTCACCGCCTTACTGAGGAAAAGCTTCCACGGTTCCCCACGCAGATTGCCTCTCACCCTTCATTGGCCACAGCTCGTCACATGACCACTCCAGACCAATCATTGGCCAAGAGCAAAGGATTGGCAGGATGGCTCAGCCAATCTTAAGGAGCTATGGGCGGGGCCAAGGCTGCTTGTCTGTGCACTTCCAGGCTCTCCCAAGGAAGTGCTTCCGGAGCCAGGTGTTGACTGGAAGGAATGTTCCAGAAATCACTGTATTGCCTCAGGAGTAGGTGTGTGTGCGCTGTGAGAACCCCCCCGCCCCCTCCCCCCCGTGGCTCTTTGCTGACTGAGAGTCTGCCTCGCCCCTGACCTGTGGAGGTCGGGTGGGCAGTGTGGCTGAGCACACCACCCATGCTGAGCTGCGCATGATGGAGGCCGGGAAGACTAGGGTGGGGAGGGCGGGTGCCACAGGGACAGGCCGGAGCCAGCAGGAGACTCGGGGTGGGGGAGCCACGGGGACAGGCCGGAGCCAGCAGGAGACTCGGGGTGTGGGGGCCACGGGGACAGGCCGGAGCCAGCAGGAGACTCGGGGCGGGGGTGTGTGGGGAGTGGGGGAGCACACGAGGACAGGCCGGAGCCAGCAGGAGACTCGGGGGGGGGGGGGGGGGGGACACGAGGACAGGCCGGAGCCGGGGAGCGTGTTCTCCTTGAGCCCAGAGTGGGGGTGGGCGGACGTCCAGACGGAGGGGCTGCCCAGGAGGGTGGACGGCCGGCTGAGGCACCTGGTGCCGGTCCTGAGGAGAGCGTCCCCGACTGGCGTGCGCCGGAGCCCGGGACTCAGTACAGGGAGCACCTGGGGTTTCGCGCGTGCCGACTCGGTCCCCTTGTCACTGCGGTAGCGCGGGCGGTTACCTCTCGCTGGTGCCAAGTCTGAGGCCGGCCGGGTGCCCTCCGCGCGGCGGCTCAGGGGTCCTGGCTCCGTCCAGCCTCTGAGGCCGCCCTCTCAACGCGCAGCCTCCAAGGTGGGAGTGGAGCTGGGGCCCCGCAGTGGCCCTTGTCTAAGCGGGGACGGTCTGGAGCCCTTTGGCCTGGTGACCTCTCTGAGGTCACCTCGCAGTCCGTGTCCGCGAGGACAGACCCCGGCCCAGGATGAGCACAGTGCGTGCTGCCCGTTCGGTGCACTTGAGAGGAGTGTGGCAGTAGCTTGTTTTCACGCGTGTGTTGCCTCCGGCCGGCGTGATTCGGGAGCACGTTGGTTGTCAGCGTTTCTGTGGCTGCTGTTCGGGACGATCCGTGGTGCTGGGCTCCTCTGCAGCCCGCCTGGGTCACCATCGCCGTCCAGGGCCCCTTCTCCCGACAGGGAGCGCCGTGTGCGGTGGCGGAGGGGAGGAGGAGGCGCTGAGGACGGCTGCTCTCTGCCACACTGAATCCTAAGGGACTCCTGTGGTGTCTCTTAAACGGCCCTGGCCATCTCTGCTGCCCCTTCTCTGGTGGCCTGAGGCTGGAGTAGAGGCTTTGTCTTCGGGACCGGCTTCTACTCCGGCCCCGGCAGTCAGTCTCCTGGTGACGGAGCGGCCCGGGAGACCCCAGTTGTTCTCCTGGTGGGATGTCCCTGCCTGCAGGACTTCATGTCGTGTTTGGGGCAGGGCTGCGTGCTGCATGCCCCCCCTCCCATACCAGGACGGTGTCCCTGAACACCATGTTTGACACTGTTGTTTAGGGAAAACCAGTTGTTGAAGGAGGGAAAATATGGTGCACTCAGCTCTCAGGGCTCTGTCGAATGTCGGATGACAGCTAGGGGCAGGGTTTGCCCACATCTGTCTCTGAGCAGAAGTCTCAGTCAGTGCTTTGCAGAGCTGAGCTGGGAGGCACGCGGGGTCCAGATGAGGCGAGAAACCAGCAGACGGCCGAGTAACCTGTGTGGGGCCAAGTGGTTCCAGGTCTCAGGGACAGTTGTGCAGTGTGTGAGGTTCTAACTCATTCAGTAATCATTTACTGAACACCTGCCATAGCACAGGTCAATGCCATCTCGGTTCTTCATCAACCTCCATCAGACAAGTACTTTACATACCAGGTAGGATATTTTGATTCAGTTGTAAATGACAGAAAACTCAACCTAAAATGTCTTAAGCAAAAGCAGATTTATTTTTGGCACATGTACTTTGAAAGGTCCATGGATATACTAGCTTCAGGAACAGCTTGATCCAGCATCCAGTTGCTGTCACTCAGCAGAATCTCTCAGCTGTCTTCCACAGTTGGGCTCCTTTCTCAGTCAATCTCTCCCGTCACCTGTGAAAGTCACTCCCAGGACCTCATCCTTCATGGCTGACATCTAGCAGACAAGTGAGAATCTTTGAACAAGCATTCTCCACTCTACTCTTCTTGCACCTTCCTGGATTTTACTGGATCATGTGCTCATCCCTGAACAATCATGTGCTCATCCCTGAACAATCACCGTGGCCTGAGGAATGCAGTACAGTGACTGATTCAGGCCTGGATAGCAGGGTTTCCTTCTGAGCCGAGGATGGAGTCAACTTCAATTACATGGGCTGCAAGTGGGGAAGGTAGTGGTCACCTGGAGGGAAATGAGGGGCCTTTATCAGGAGAAGAGTGAATGGATACTGGGCAGCAAGACAACAGATGTCCACTGAAATGTAGTAAAATGTGTCACCCCAAAATATGCCACTTGGACATATGAATTATTTTGAACTGAAGGCAATTTTGAAGAAGCAGATACCAAAAAAGCTCTCTGCCCTCCCCCTGTTTGCCTCAAAGCAGGACATAAATTTGTGAAGGTGTCTTCCCTGCCGCTTTCTACTAGGAAGAACAGAAGTTGATGACCAGAGACAAATCTAGGCCTCGTCAGCCTAGAGACAGCACCAGAGGAAGCCGCAGAACAGAGCTGACTGAGCAGGCTGTCTCTTCCTTTAGTCCCCCTGGACGTTTACCTTCCCGCAACTTGCCACCGTGGAAACTCAAAGTCCCCTTCCTTTGTCTTGTCACTTCTCTCAAAGTATACTGTTCCTTTAGGTAAGATGCTATGTAAGCCCAGGTACTACCTGCTCTATTGAGTTGTCATCGCTGAGCACTCTGACGCACGTGTTCATAAACTTCTGCTTGCGTTTTATTGTTAATCTGTGTGGTCAGTCTAATTCACAGGGCCCCAGCCACGCAGCTAAGATGTGCAGAGGGAAAAAGACTTATTTCTTTCTCCCCTACACCACCGCACTACTGTTCATCACACCGTTTCATAATCAGGGAGTTAAAGTTCAAACCTGCCGAGGGCACACCGCTGGGTAAGGAGTTGTTCCATCCCCAATTGTTTTGACTCTTTTCGTTATTTGACAGCTTCTTGAGCCGTGCTACTGGACCTCAACTGGATTGTCTGTTATTTGTGGCCAAAGATTATTTATGTATATATATATATATATATATATATATATTAAAATTTATTTTAATTTAATTCAGTTAGGCAGTGCAGTAACTTTCTTTCTTCCTTCCTTCCTTCCTTTCTTCCTTTCCTTTTTTGGTGAGGAAGTTTGGCCCTGAGCTAACATCTGTGCCAGTCTTCCTCTATCTTGTATGTGAGATGCTGCCACAGCATGGCTTGATGAACAGTGTGCCCAGGATCGGAATCAGCAAACCCTGGGCCACCAAGCAGAGCACGTGAATTTAACCACTATACCACCAAGCCAACCCCATATATTTTATCTTTCTTAATATTCCCTATAGGTGTCAGAATAGAGTCTTAAGTAGAATAGTATTCAATAATAGAATTGAAAATTTCATCTGAAAAGATCACTGGCTCAATAATTTGAAGTTTAATATTGTTTCAAACCCATTTTCTAGCTGAATGCCCTCCTTTGCCGTTTTGTAATAATGTCCCTTTTATTTCCAAGGATTGCTGAGGCAGTGAATTTCAAAGACTATGTGATGTCTGCAACTAGTTGCCATATTTCCCTGGAGGGACCACTACCACGGACTCTCCCAGAATTTGTTAGATTGTCCCCTTATCACCATCCATCTCATGCACGAATAGGTGAGTTTCTCTTCTTTGATTTGGTTTTTAGTTGTTTTTCCATGTGATCATAAAAAGAGTCTTCGATGGACTGAGTTGGCATTCTCCTGCCCCAAGAGATCCTTCCTTTTCTTGATCTATAGCAGAAAAGCCCCTCTGATGGCAGTGAGGGTTGATCTTGTTGTTGATGCTGGGTAAAAGGCATCTGAGGTCACAATGAAGATTTCATACGGTGGTACAGCAACCAGGAATGTTTCTATGAATAGAAAGGATGGGTTTTAGGGGGGCAGAGTATGTGCTTTTGGGATAGTGGGGATAAATTGGCCATCCTCAGTTATCTTCTGTAATGACCAATGACAAGTGAAGCAATGCTTTCTGCTTGAAAGAAACACACTTGAGAGCTTGGAATAAACCATTAAGGCTTGTCCTGATGCATCATAACTTTAATTTTTGTCTATATTGAATTTCTTTTTCAATGGACAAAAATGCCCAAGTTATTGATAATGTGCATGTGCACAATCTACTGACTTTTAAAAAAGTTTCCTCCTACCTGATTTAGTAAGTAATGTCCTCGCAAAATTTGTGTGATCATTTTATATCTGCAGTCATTGCAGCCACAGCTCATGGGGGCAGTGTTCCTGTTCGTGAAATTCTTGTTGACTTTAAGATTGTGATCTTACCAAGACGGTTATTAAGGAGAAGCTCAATATGTTTCATAGGTAGAAGAGATATTAAAGAACAATCCTTTCAAGGACCTTCAATTCCATTCCTTTCATCCATTCATTCTATTCCATTCCACCCATTGCACCCATTCCATCCATTCCATTTATTTCATCCATTCCATCCATTCCGTTTGTTTCATCCATTCCATGCATTCCATCTGTTTCATCCAATCCACCCATTCCATCTATTCCATCCATTCCACCCATTCCATCCATTCCATCCATTCCATCTATTCCATCTATTTCATCCAGTCCACCCATTCCATCTATTCCACCCATTCCATCTGTTCCATCCAATCCACCCATTCCATCTATTTCATTCATTCCATCCATTCCACCCATTCCATCCCACTAATGACTACTAAGGCCCTACCATGTGCCAGACACTGTGTCTATGCAAGGTACCCCTTTACGTCTTCACACTAATTACCCTTCCATCCCCATCTCATGGTTTTAGTCATACCTTCTCCTGGATTGCTGACTGAACTTGAGGAAGTGAAGAATAATTGTCATTTTCACCACAGTCTCCTCTTCCAACCTTTCCTAGGGCCCATCTGTGGTTAATAAGGACCTTTCCTTCCCAGGATACTCATTTGCGCTCTCCTTCTGTTCCTCTAGAAAAGGAGTAATACTGGCCTCATAAAACAATTTGGAAAGTGTTTCCTTACCTTCTATTTCCTGGAAAACATTGTTTAAAATTGGTGTTAATTCTTGGTTAAACATTTGGTGGAATATTCTGGTGGAACAAACTTTCCTGGAAATTTCTTTTTCAGGAATTTCTAATTTCAAATTAAATTTCTTTGTTAGTTATCAACGTAATCAAGTTATCTAGTTTATATTGTGTGAGCTGTGGTAATTGGTGCTTTTTGAGGAAGTGGTCCATTTCATGCAAGTTGTAAAATTTTTGTGCATAGAGTTGTTTATAATTATTCTTTGATTATCCTTTTGATATCTGTAGGGTCTGTAATAATATTCCCTGTTTTATTCCTGATAGTGGTAAATTGTCTCTTCTGTCTTTTTTTCAGTCTTGCTAGAATTTGCCAAATTCATTGATCTTTTCACTGGTTGTCTGTATTGGTTTTTTGTTTACAGTTTCATTGTTTATTGCCCTTTATTCCTTCCTTCTTTTTGTTTTGGGTGTATTTTGCTCTTCTTTTTCTACCTTGTTTTGTAAAAGGTAAGAAGTAGACAGAGCTACATACTGCCTTGTGTGTGTGAACTAAGTGACAGAGGCACAGTGATCAGTCAGTGACAGATCAATCACTGACAGACTCTGAAGGAAGTGGCGGGGTTGGTCACTGATCATCGTGTGCGTGTTAGTTGTGTAGTGATATGTGGGCTGAAACCTAGCAGTGTGGTTTGCACTTTGTTCCATTAATCACGTTTAATATACTATGGGAAATTAAATTCGAACAATGTTGTTGGGAGATTGGTGTTATTTTATTTAACTAAACCGGAGTAACTGAAATTAGTACATAGCAGGATCATTCAAAGTGAAGAGTACCTGTTTTTAATATTTTAATACAATAATTTTAGATTCACATGCTATTGTAAGATATAATACAGGCCATCCCATGTAAAGATTCAGTTTCCCCCAAGGTAACATTTTGCAAAACTATAGTACAGTATCACATCTGGGATATTGACATTGATACAATCCACCAATATTATTTAGATTTCCCCAATTCTACCTATATTTACTTATATTGTTTGCATGTTTGTGTATGTTTTAAGGACTGTACATGTTTTTCACCTGTGTAGGTGCGTGTATCCACTACCACAGCTAAGATCCTGAACAGTTTCGTTGCGTTGCCTTTTTATAATCACATCCACCTCCCACCACTCCCCCTACCATGGCTGTTCCCTGGCAACCACTAATATGTGCTCCATTTAAAAAATGTTGTCATTTCAAAAATGTTATATAAAAAAATACAGTATGTCATCTTTTGCATTGGCTTTATTTAACTCAGTGTAATTCTCTGGCAATACATCCAAGTTTTTGCATATGTCAGTAATTTATTCCTTTTCATTGTTGGACAGTATTCTGTGGTATGGATGTACCACAGTGTGTTTAACCATTCACCTTTGAAGGACATCTGGGGTGTTTCAGGTTTGGGGCTATTATGAATAAGGCTGCTATAAACATTCGTGTACAGATTTTTGTGTGAACGTAACTTTTCTCTTCCTTGGGATAAATGCCCAAGAGTGCAATTGCTAGATAGTATGGTTATCTGGTATGTTTGTTGAGTTTTGTATGCAACTGCCAAACCATTTTCCAGAGTAGCTGTACCATTTTACATTCCCACCGGAAGTGTGCGAATGATCCAGTTTCCCCTCTTCTCATAAGCATCTGCCATTGTCGCTCTTTTTTATTTTAGCCATTTTGACAGGTGCGTAGTGATATCACATTGTGACTTTTATTTCCATTTTTCTGATGGCTAGTGATGTTGAACATCTTTTCACGGATTATTTGCCATCTTTATATCCTCTTTGGTGAAATGTCTGTTCATGCTGTTTGCCCATTTTCTGATTTGATTGTTTATATTTTTACTGTTTAACTTTGAGAGTTTTTAATATATTGTAGATATTATTCCTTTGTCAGACATATTGTTTGCAAATATTTTCCTCCAGTCTATAGCTTGTCTTTTCATCCTCTTCACGAGGACTTAGAGCAAAAGTTTTACACATACAACCTGTTAGTTTAACATCCACATTTCCCCTAGAATCCACCCACTTTTCTCCACCCACAGATCCTTTGTGAAGCTGCCTCTTCTAGGCTTCCGCTCCCACACCAGGAGGTCGCCCCCCTTTCTTCCCCACCTGGGGGTGTCGGTGGAACTCACGGGATCGCTCTCCCCAGAGAAGGTCTCCTCACAGTTCCTCCCCTCGGATGTCAATGTAGCTCTTCATATGCCCCCACGTGGATGAGGCATCAAGTGGGTTCTGAAAAAGACGTGTGGGAATTTGCTGTCCTGGTGAGTGTCACAGTGGACTTTAGAATCTAAATGTCATGTTTGTGCCTCATTTGAAATTTTGTTTTTATTATGCTGATAGTTTTACTTTGAGGGATGGCAGGAAATTGTCATATTACTTCAGAGGAACTTATTCTTTTCTTGTTTTGGAGTGATATAGACATTCTTACGTTAGTCTTATTTATTCTTCTTGTTTTTAACAGTAGCGACAGGCACAGTAGTGAATTTAGGAATTTATGAGCCATTGCTTGTTGGAGTTTCTTTGTGAGCTTCTTTACTTAATTCTCACTGTCCTGAAGCAGGGAACTTCATAGTAGGAATAGTGAGGCTTTTCCATAAAAACCACCAGGACCCTCAGCATTCTTTATTTGCAAGCAACACATACTGCCTCAGCTGATTTTAGCCTTATCCCACGTTCATGTCGGATGTTAGTAGAGTGGAACACCAGAGAAGGTGGAGTCTCCCTTTTCCACTGGAGAAGAGCCAGAGATGAAGCAGAATTCATTACATGTACTGGGAACCCAGAGCCCATGGCTCAATGGAGAAGAGACTTTTTTTTTGGAGGAAGATTGGCCCTGAGCTAACATCTGTGCCCATCTTCCTCTATTTCATATGTGGGATGCAACCACAGCACGGCCTGCTGAGCAGTGTGTAGGTCCACACCCGGGATGCAAACCAGGGAACCCCGGGCTGCCAAAGCGGAGTGTGTGAACTTAACCACTGCGCCACGGGGTTAGTAAATAAGAGAAAGTTACTTCTCTCTTTCCTCATCAATCAGGAGATTCCGGACATCAGCTTCAGAAATGGATCAAACCTGTCACCCTCAGTAGTGTATTTGACACGATGGAGCTAAACCAGCCAACAGTGGCGAGTCACATTTGGATAAGGAGCCATGAGTCTGGTCCTTCCACCAACAGTGAGATTTAAACTTGCAGTTTCACCAGAAAGAGAAGAAAAAAGCATGTTTTTTCCATCTTTCCTCATTTCAGACCATCTAACTAAGCACCAGTCAGTGTGCCCAAGTTTTCAAATCAAACTCCGTTTGAATTTGTCTAAGAGGAGTGGAGCATACTCACTGATTCAGGTGTGTTACTTCTGGGCTGTGTTTCCATTACCATCTTCGGAAAAACACGTGAGGCCGGGTCCATGGCTAAGGGTGACTTGTTCTGCCGAGATCTGAAGTGCCCTGTTTGAAATTGTGCCCTGTGGAAGGTACCGCCGACTCCAGCACGGGCCTGATAGGTCTCGGTTTGTGTGTGGTTCACAGTGGTTTTGTCCTCCGGGCTTCAGGGGGTCTTCAGTGTCGTGAAGGACACGTTTCCTGTGGCTCGAAGTGGACGCATCCTGGTGGGAAAGTGTGACTGAGGCCAAGTGCTTTCTCCTCCTGGCAGGTTCTGGGTAGCCCGGAGGCAGAAGTTCCGTGGAGTTCAAGGAACGCTGCTGGACCTGCAGAGCCTGTGGGCAATGAGTCTGCTTATTATTAATGCAGTTTCTTTGGCTTTTCAAGATACTTAACATTCAATAAATATTTTCAATAATTCAGAAAATCCGCATGCAGTGCTCTTTGGGGGAGCATTTGCAAGAGTGGAATGTGAGTGTAAAGATGAAGGTCAGTGTGAACCCGTCCAGCAGGCAGCCCCCTGACCTTGTGATGGTGACCGTGAGTGCTGCCCTTTCTGAGAAGTCCCCACGTGCTGGCTGTGCTGAGCGCTTGGCAGCACCTCGTTCAATTCACGCGGGAGCTCGGAGTCCTCTCCGGTCCGCTGTGTCAGCCCTCATGGCAGGTGCTCCACACTGGGGCCGATCTGCAGACCTGCTTTTCTATTGAAAATCAACTGCAAATGCAGGACTCTCTGCTTCTCTTGCAAACAGTGATAGGCTGTCAGCATGGGGCTGCGTTTCCTGGCCAGAGCTGCCTGCAGTGGCCGCTCCCCTTCAGTGCAGCCTCTTCCTAGAACCCCAGCCCTGCCTGCTCGCTCCTGTGTTACCTTCCTGGTCTCGTTAGCACTCGAATGTGAACCCCGCTTCTTGGTAGTGATTACCCTATCCTCTTCCAGTGTACTCCTCCCCTCCCTCTCAGCTGCGCTAGACCTTTAAAAATCCTTCCTTTGGCCACACATCTCTGTGGAGCTACTGCCCCTCTCCTTTCTTTCACAGCCACTCTCTGGGAAGAGTCACTTGCATTTTCCGTCTCCTCCTCACCAGTGACTCCTCGCCATTCTGGTTCTTTCCCCACACTTGACCCAAACACCTCTTGCTCAGTCACCAATGCCTGTGCATCACTAAGTCCACCTCTCAGTCTGTGTCTTGACTGCTCAGCAGGTTTGACCCGCTGGCCCCTTCCTCCTCCATAAACACCCTCATGCACTGGATGCGCAGCAGTGTGCTCCCCTGTCTTCCTCCCACCTCTCTGATGGCTCCCTCTCAGTCTTCTGTTCAGATCTTGCCGCCCTGACCTGGATGTTAAATGTTCCACAAAGATTCATCCTGGGTGTTCTCTAGTCATTATGTTTCTTTCTCATCTATCCCCTGGGCCTTTCATACTGCCCATACATTGATGGATCCCAAATTCATGTCTCTAGAATATTCTGTCTTTTAGCTTTAGACTCGTAAATCCACCTGTTTACTTGGTGTCTGCATTTGGATGGCTCGTGGGCAATGCACAGTCAGCAGGTCAAGAGTAATCTCCATTCCTTCACTCTTACCTCACTCAGTGTTTCCAGCCTAATAAATGGAACCACAGTCCATCGACTTGTATGAACCAAGGGAATCCATTCCTTATATTCCGTCCCCCTCACTCTCCTCATATCTGGCCCACCGCTAACCTGTTGATTTTACGTCCCAAACTTCCCTGGGATCCACCTGCTTTCCTCATCTCCACGGCCTCCACCTCAAGGGAACACAGCCTCCTGACCATTTCCTGACTTCTACAGTTGCCGCCCCTGCCCCTTCTATACTCCTTGTGGCAGACTGAGTGACCTTTTGAAGAGGCACATCTAGTTACCTCTTCTGCCGTGGATCGTCCTCAGCTCCCGTCACTTGGAGTGAAGTTAAACCCCTCCCTGTGGCCCAAAAGCCCAGGATTGTCATCTTGCCTCATCTGTACCATGCTCCTTGTCCTTCCCTGCTCCAGCCACAGGGCCTTTACACGTGTTGTTCCCTCTGCCTGGAGCGCTCTCTCTCTTCCCTGCTCACTCCCGGTCATCCTCGTGTCTCAGCTCTGTTGTCACTCCCCGAGGGCGCCTTGCCTGACCCTCCTGGATCAGGTGGAGTTCACTGTGTTGGCTCCCATTCCTTGTTGGCACACGCCTCCTGTTGTCATTCATTTCGTGTTTGTTTTTTCCACTAGACTGTCAACTCATGTGCTTTTGTTCATCATGAAATGCACAGCACATGCTTACAGTAGGAACTCAATAAATGTCTACAGAATGAATGAATAAACTACACGTAATAACCCTTTGTAACTAGAAATCAGAGGTTAGAAAAGGTAAATGACACAGTGAGGCTGCAATGGCTGCAGAACTCGAATCCAGGTCTGTGAGACGCCAGAGCCCACGGCAGCTGCTCTGGGTGGGCACACAGGCTTCTGTTCCTTCTCCGTCCTCTCCGCAGGAGGAGTCAGAGGCTCAGTTTGCATCTGTTTGCGTGTTCTCGTTTCCGTTCACTCCTTAAGAAGTAACTGAGGTGTGTTACTGAGTCAGTCATTTAATGAACAAGACATCTGTTCATCAAACAGGCTGGTTTAGTTACTTGTTTTAAGAGATTTGAAGGTAGATATATTGCAAAGGTCAGTCACTTAAATTGTATGACTATTATTATCTATTGAGAAGAAATTGTATAACACAATTAATATAATTCACAATAAAAACATGGAAGAAGATACTTGTTATTTGATAAACTGAATAATTTAGTTGTTACTAGTATACATAAATTTTATGAAACAGTAATTATAATGTAGATGAGTTTTTATTCTCATGGTTATTGTTATTATAATTGTGAACGGCAGGGTTATTGCATGGAGATCCACCGTACACAACCACTACAGATTAAATTATATCACTGAAATGTACCCTCCACCTCCTTATTTGTCTTATTTTTCTAAAAATGTTTGTACTTTAAAACGTGAGTCAGTGTGGTGAAGTGTGACCAGGCGTGTCTGTGTCTCTCTCATCTCGGTTCCTGGCACCCTGCTGGGATGGTGGGCACTCACCATTCGTGCGTGCTCACAGCCGCTGAGGGTCTTAGTAACTCCATGGGTTGGTGGTTTGACTCCTTTCTTCTGTGATTTTCATTCCAACTGTTGAAACACGCGTGGACAAGTCGCCACGCCCTTGTCGAGATTCAGATGACCTAGGAGACTGGAAACCCTGCCCTACCCTCTCCACGTAGACCAGTGTCTTCACAGCCACAGCCCCCTCCGGGCCAGGAGCTCCCTCTCCATCTTGGGCAGCACGACCCTCTGTCACAGCCACTGGCTCAGGGACGAGGGGGCCTCTGACACAGGAGGAGGGCAGAGTGGGCTGCGGTGGCAGGAGGGCTCTGAGACCCCTGCGCAAGCTCAGCCTGGGCAGGGCCCGGGGTCCTGAGCCGTCCTGGGTGGGCTCCACCAGCCCACGGACCGGCTGTAGCTCACTCCACATTCACGTCTCTGTGTCTTCTCGTCTGGTCCTGACCTTGGCCCCAAAGTGAGCTCTTCAGTCGCCAGCCCACCTTCCATTTGGGGCAGGAGTGCTGGTCTCTCGAGGACAGAGTTGTTCTGTTCCCGGTCATTTGGGAGGGAATCAAAGCATGGCTTCTCTTTTATCTTCATCAGTAAGGACTGTTTGATCACAGGTGAAGCAAACCTGACCCAGACTGCACATACAGAGGAAATCTATGGGCTCCTTTGACCTGGAAGGGGCAGGCTGGGTCAGAGCTGCAACAGCATCATCAGAACCCCCACTCAGCTCCTCGTCACTGCGTTGACTCCGCTCTCAGACAAGGTAACTCCAGCAGCTGCCAGGCCACATCCTTCCTCGTTCACGCCGAGCTGAAGACGCTGGGTCTGTCCCAGCTTTCCCAGCCCAGGTCCCACGCAGCTTACCTGCCCTGACGGTCACTGCCTATCCCGACCATCACTGTGACAGGAGGTAAGATGCACAGTTGGGTGACTCAGACCCCGATGATGGGAGTCACCCCAGGAGAGATGGCACCCCTCTAGGAAAGTCAGGGTGCAGTGAACCAGGACATGGGCCAATAGACGCTGAGTAGCTGTACCATTTTCCTGAGATCAAGGCCAGGCCAGTGTGGGCTCAGAAACTTCATGGACCTCTCTGGTAGAGTAGCTCACCGGACAATGTGAAGCAAAGGAATGGACGGAAACGTGAGGCAGAGCATATGCTGGGAGGGGCACTGCAGTTCCCGTGTCGCAGCCCTCCCCCAGGTGGCTCTGGGCACGGAGGACGGGCTCCTCAAAGCCTGCTTTCCACTGTGACGGGAACTGATCACCTTTCCTGGGAAATAAAGTATGAGAAGTGTTAGAGGCCGTGAACATGCTTGTTGTCATTAACAGTCCTTGAGCCAGGCTCTGAGGTGGAAGAACATTCATGGCATCTTAAACCTATACTGCCTCTTGATAGAAGTGAAAATATTACAGAAATAAAAATAGTGTCTCCCGGGGGTTCTGATACAATCCCCACAGGGATCCATGCCTCTGGGTGAGCCTCATTATCTGCAAATCCTCCAACCGAGGAGATGTGTTAGGGAGGTCTGCTCTGTAGTTTGTGTTATTAAAACCATATTTTTCCCAGTTGAAGACCACATGAGAGAGACAGGGAGAGAGGGAGATTACCTGTATTGATCATAAGCTCCTTTGGTCAGACATAGGCTATAAAGCAGTTTAATAAATTAGAAAGGAGCTTTTTTCCTAACCATGGAAAATCTACGTCTCCTGAGAAGGACCTTTGGAGACAGAATCGATGAGGACGGTTAGCGCAGGGAGCACTGCTCACCCCTTTACTGTTTGTTGTAAAGAACATCGTCCTAAAGCCCAGTGCCCAGAGCCAGCCTTGCTGTTCTTTCCAACAATTCAAGAGTCAGAGAGGGAGGTGGAGGCTTCAGAGTGAAAAGGTCAAGAGGATCATTCTAGAAGCTGCAGTCTAAGCTCAGCTCTTCTTACACTGAGAATGAATAACGTGTTGAAATGCAGTCTTCAAAAGGTCTCGGTGAAATTCAACCCAGGGTGTCTGGGATAAATGATTTATAATCTGTTTATTCCATGGGCAAAAGGCACCTGGAGAGAACATTCCAGAAGGAGGTCCAGAGGCAACAGTTCTGGGACACTTTTGACATGTGTGGAGGGTGGAATCTGACGCAAGACCTTGGAGGCCCCGGGTGGGCCCCGGCTGGGATGCCCGTCTCCCTGCGTCCCTGCGCAGACTGCACGCAGGCTACTGGTTCCACAAGAAGTCAAAGCATGCCCCTCAGGGAGGTGATGCTGCTGCCAGAGTTCCAGGGGGCAGGAGGAGAGGATGCCTGGGACTGGAGACCTGCCCCTGAGAGTCCGAGGGGACATCAGCCCACTGTAACTCCGGGCAGGCACGTGTGTATACACTGTCAGCACCCGGTTGGATGTGAACACAGGAGGGAGAATGACGCGGGTGAGGTTGGATTGCCCACAGCCGTTGGAGGAACTGGATAAAATCAGGAGGGATAACCCTGTGACCCCAAGATGGAAGTGCGTTTGAAGGTGAGGAAACCGCCCTGGAGATGGCCGTGCTCTCTCCGGTGAATCGGAGTCGGCGGAACAGCATGAGTCAGCTCCTCAGCCGGCTGTGGGTGTGCAGAGAGCTTCATCTCAGGCCCTGGAAATGGGGCGGAGGCATCTGAGCTGTCAGTGGACTGAGAAATGCTTTTGGGTCAAAGGAGTCTTGGAAGGCGTCTTAGTCCTTTGGGCTGCTGTAACGAAATACTACACACTGGGTGTCTTGTAAGCAGCAAACATTTATTTCTCACCGTTCTGGAGGCTGAAAGTCTCAGATCAGGGTGCCAGCATGGGGGTTTCTAGTGAAGGGCTCCCTCTGGGCTGCAGATGGCCGATTTCTGGCTGTGTCCTCACGTGGCGGAAGAGGCGAGGAAGCTCTCGGGGGGGGTCTCTTTTATAAGGCACTAACCCCATTCATTAGGGCTCCGCCCTCATGATCTAATCACCTCCCAAAGGCACAGACATTTGATGGAGAGGGCGGGAGTCCAAAACCCCGCTGGGCTTGTCTGGGCCTCAGTCCCAGCCCCCTAGACCCTTCACCCTTGGTGTGTTGCAGTTTGGGGTGGTGATTTGACCTTTGAACCCAGTAGAACTTCTCCTTTCCAGCTTCCCTCCCATCCCCTACTCAGGTGCACAACCACCTTCCAGGATACAGGGGCTTCCTCTTGCAGCTAGGACCCCCGAAACAGACCCCTCCAGCGGCGAGGGGACGGTTCCCGTGAGAGTGTCCCATGGAGGGAGTCTCTGCTGGACTCCACCTCCAGACCTTGGCCACGTTGCTCAGCCTCCAGCCAAGCATCCTCCATGGAGAACAGGCCAGTGAAGCTCCTCTCTCCCAGGCCAGTGTGTGTGCTGTGCTCAGAGCACGTTGGGGGCATCACCATCGCCATCCTTGGGGGCTCTGCGGCCCGTGGCACTCTCCTTCCAGAAGCATCCTCTGTCTGGCACAGGTCTCTGGAGAAGGCACCTTGTTAGCATATTAATTAGGGAGTGACAGTTACTCCTTAACTGAATATATCTTTCAGGTCTGTCAGAGCCTTACATTTTAGTCCTGATTCTCTTCCTTCTTAATAATCTCTGAAAAGAGAGACATTTTAGGGTAGGAGGGTGAAAAGTATGTGTTTTCTCTGTTTGTTAAGCTGCAAGAACCAGAAGAGACAGCCAAGAGCCTGGCCCGAGGGGGCCTTGCTTTCCCCCTCCTCAGACATCCAAGGAAGGCAGTTCAGGGCTGGTGGAACAGCCCCCGATGCCCTCATGACCTGCCCTGGCGTGTGGTTTGGGCACCGTTGTGCTGCCTTGTGGTCACGAGAGGGGCTGCTCCACCTCCCCCATCACAGCTGCATTCCCGGCGGGACAAATGGGGAGAGTGGAGGACAGAAAGGACTAGCCAGCGGAGGCCACCCCTCAGGAGAATCTTCCTCCTGGTATTCCTGCCCCTCTGCCTGCATTTCACTGGTCAGAGTTCTCACATGACCAGCCACCTCTGCAGGGGTTTCTGAGAAATGTAATTCTACAGCTGGGCACATTGCAGCCTGGACAACAATGGTGCTTTGTCAATCAGGAGAAAGGGCACATGCACATTGCCCAGGCATCTTCAGAGCCTGCCAGAGTCCCCAGAGGAGGTAGGTCTGCCTCTATGGGGCCTCCCCAGGCCTCCTCCCAAGATCTGGCTTCTGAGCAGCCAGCCAGAAAGCAGATGAGGGGCCCCTCCTGATGGACTGAGGTCAGCCTCCCTGGTCCTTTTCTAGTTCTAGGCACCGTGCGGTGCTCCATCTAGGAAATTTCAGGAAAGCCTTGCCAAATGCCTAATCCTGTAGCCTCATTCCTGAAGTCAGCAGATCAAGTCCATCGGGACTGGTTCCAGAATCCCATGGAAGCTCTGAAGCACGGACAGGCAGAGGGAGGTGCTAGTGCTGAGGGGCCGAGTGAGTTTGAACACGGTGTTTTCTCTGTTCTAGAAAACATGTTTGCCGTGGATTGCTAATTACATAGGCAGCAGGACAGAGCCCAAAAAAGAATTGTCTTACTCATTGCTGTTCTAACTTACAGTTCTGGGTGTTTGGGTTTCCTTCCCTGTCTCTGGATTTGGTGACCAGGTATTTGACAGAGCAGAACTCCAGATATTCCATGAGGAATGAGAAAACTAATCTTACCCACCAGAGAGGCATGGCGCGAGAAGGCCACTGCAGAGACACTCCACGTGGTCTGGGGTTGGGGTGGGCTGCGTCACTTTAGACATTCCTGTTGTGATTACTTTTTCAAGGTGACAGAATAACAATTTGGCTGAGATAATCTGGCATGGCCAGTTTTAGGCAATGATTTGTTACCTAATTCCTCTTGACAGGCACTCTTATAAGTGCGTGTGTCTCTAGAGACTGCATCTTCTTGACATATCGATTGGGGAAGACAGTCTTTACCTGCCTAATACCCTAATTC